CTCTATAAAGCATTGCAAAACCTTCCCAGTCTCTGTTAGCAGTGTAGAAGGAATGATAAAAAAAAAACATTCCCCTAAATCCCAGTACTTGGATTAAAACCAGGGAAGGACAGGCTGACTGTGCAGCTCATTTTTTGGAAGTATTAGGAAAAATTGCCAATGGCAGTGACGTGGCATTAGTGTGAATTCCCAGCAGGCTGAGTTTTGGGGTGGTTTAGGTTTTCCCAAAGGCTTTTTCAGGCTCTCAGCATTATGAAATACAAAGTGGCTGGATCAGCATGGGTTTTGGGGAATGGCTGTTCCGTGGGATTTTTTTTTTGTGACTTTTTCCCGGTATCCAGTCACCAGCTTTGTCACTCTTCCGCATCCAGCTCCTTCTTCTCCTTAGTTTTTACCACAAATATAAATGGGGCAATTGAAATGATCCGTGGAGAGCATTCCTGAGGACTGAAATCCAGGATCTGGGAGCAGACGGCAGCAGCATAAAGAGGAATTCTTCCCTCTCTGGCCTCATGCTGCTTTTCCACCACAAGGCTTTACAGCCATCTGGATCCCCTTTCAGATTATGCCCCCCCTCCCAAAAATCCATAACCTAGCAACCTTATTTAGTGTAAACGAGAGCATTATGCCTTCCTGCTTCCAAATTTGTGCTCGGCTCCTCCGACTGCCTTTGTGGGACGGCTGCTGTGATCCCATTGCCAGCACAGGGTGCCTGTCTCCAGCAGGATTTTGTAGGATTATTGAGTCCTGAGTGTTGCACTTATTATTTTTTCCCCATTAAAGGAGCTTGGAAAACAGAGGAGGAAAAGGGTTTCAGGAAGTTGTGTCGTCCATCTGCTTCTCGATATGAAAGAGTGGAGAGGGCAAGTTACTCTTTGGCTCCACAGAAAGTGATTGGCTTTGGTCCAGCCTTGAAGAGTTGATCAAAGTGGGATTTTTTTTCTTCCAGATGTGATATTTTGGGAGTCCCTGTTGCTTCCCCCAGCTCTGTGTCATCACCCGGGAATTTTCGAATTCCCTGGAGCGTTTTACACCAATTTCTCTGCTCTGACCCTTCAGCTACCTAGACTGAGTGTTTCTCATGGAGTTTCCAGCTTGCTTTCCCCAAGGATCCTCTTAACTGAGGAAAACTGCAAACCAGGAAGAGCAGCCACAAATGAAGGTGGAAGATTATTCCCACCAAATTAAGCAACAGGGACAAGGGAGCTGCAAAGGTGTGGTCTGAGGCTGCCCACCCCTGTGGTCATGTCTGTGCTCTCGTTGCTCTGCTTGGGCTAAAAGGCACCCAAATTTATTTAATAATAAGTTTTTTTATCATGGGATCCCATTACCATCAGTCCTTACAGGGAACCAGGGGCTGCTGCCTTCTCCTTTCACCCCGTGAGCACGAGCAGGATCGGGGGCAGGAGGAGGCAGCGGCACATCCCTTCCCACCACACTTTCGGGAGGAAGAGTGAGCTCAGCGGGTCGTGACGTTGGAGCCGCGTGCCGGGAAAAAGGGGGGAAAAAAGTAATTACAAATCCCCAGGGCCAAAGGGGAAAAATTCCTCCAGTGTTATTTCATCTCCGAGCAGCGAGTTGAGCCGTCCTGGGGCAGCCTGTGTGCGCCCTTCCGAGCGAGGAGCTGCGGGCTCTGCTTCACACCCTCCTGAGAAGTGACTTCCAGCTCCCATTTCTGATGGGAGCCCGAGCAGGGCTGTCCTCCAAACCCTGCTTCCCCCTCCTCCAGACAGGATTAAAAAGTGCCATTGATTTTTATTTTTTTTTTTTCTGTTTATTTTTGCCTGTTTTCCTGGAACTTGCAAAATCGGCCCTGAGCAAACCTCTGGTTTGCTTTTCCAACGGCTCTGGGAGAAAACTTGACTTTAAATTGGGTGATGGGAGCTGCAGCTGCCCCGTGTCTGCACGTTCCTCTGCCAATGGCAGTAAAAACATTTTCCCATTTAAAGGTTCTCTTCAGTCTTCAGGTTCTGGGATTGTTTGTGTGTTAAACTGCCCGGAATCAAAAGGACTTGCTGGAAATGGCAGTGGTACCAGTTGCGCCGCCGGGTGTCTCTTTCCTTAGAAAGACTTCCCTATTCTTTTCCAGTGGCTGATTGCTTTGGCACATTGTCACATCACTCTGTGTCCCCTGCCCAAAGGCAGTGGAGAGGGTTAAGGCTTTGTGTTTGGTGTCAGCCAGCCAGGGAATGCAGCCAGGAAATTTCCTGATTCTCGTTCAAAAAAAGCATCGGATCCGCTCTTGGGGAGAAGGGATCAAAAGTCCGAAGCGATTTGTGGTTGGAGGTCGGTTTGGTCTCTTGCTTGTCCAGGCACACACAACAAAACCCCACCCCCAGACCTGCACACGGCCAAAATGGGTGAAACAAACAGGTTTTTGTTCCATTTGACGCCCAAAAATTGTTTCTGTTGCTGCTGGTGGTGCTGCATCGCCCCATCCGAGCTTTGCTGGATGTCTGCACGACTCTGCCTGTGATGTGAGGGACTTGTTGGGATGCTCCCCCTTCCCAGCAGATTAATCCCACTAATCATTAACACTGCCAAGCCCTGTGCCATCGCTCACGCTCCTCCTCCACTCACTGCCAGATGTTTGGAATGAAGGATGTGGGTCAGGTTGGATGCTCGGAGCTGGCGCTGGATGCAGCACCATCCCCACACTACCATCACAGCTCTATAAAATCACATGCCAAGAGTGTTTGCTTTCCCCTCGCTCTTAATCCGATTGTTCCCTGGTTTGGGACAGCAAAGGCAATCGCTCCCACCTGGAGCACTGAGATTTCCCCTTGCTCCATCCCGGGAAAAGGCAGTGCAGCTGCGTGGCACCTCTGGGGCGACAGCGGTGCTGGTTCGGGGCTGGCTCTGCAGCTGCCTGTGATTTTCCCATCGCTGCGGATCCTGGCACTGGACCAGCTCCAGAGACGGAGCTGAAGGAAATTCCTTCCAGCTGCTTGAGGTCAGGGCTTCGCTTTGCTTTTGGGGTTCACGAGGGGGATTTTTTTTTGCCTGCGAGTTAAACGCAGGCGTCTCTGGCCGCTGCTTCTTAACACCTGGAAAAATCCTTTTCTTTTAAATATTATCCTGCTACTCATAGCCATTAAATAACCTTCCTGTTGTGGAATCATTCCATGGAAGAATACACCGCTCTGCAGCGCAACTTGGGCTGTTTCAGAGAGGTCTTGTCAGCTGCTCCCAGTTTAACTTTCAACCGAGTTAATAAGGCTTTTGGTTAAACCTGTCTGAAACACGTTGCGAAACGCCTTTGAAACTTGAGACGCTGTTCACGCCCGCTTGAAATCTTTCCCATCGATAAAATGATTCAACCTGGAGTTTGGCCACAGCTTAGCATTGGCTCTTCCCTGAGATTCGTGATTTCAGACCTGCCTGTGTCTGGCTCTGCTGTGTTTTTAAAGCTCAGTGTTTCCTGGAGATGGGTTGGCCTCGCCAGCCTGGCCGATGGGATGCTGCTCAGACCAACAGCTTCATCCAGTTTCCCCAGTTAATGGCTGAGGAGATCCAGTCTGAGTTTGCTTTGAATCCCTGCAGAGAAAGCTGTTTTTCTTGAAAACATAACTTAAATCCTTCTAAAAATGGGGTTTTGTTCACAGCAGCAGAGGGAGAAGCCACCCCTCCACCCTGTGCATGGGCTGTATTTAGGCATGATGATGCACAGCACTTGCCTGGCCCCTTTGTGCTCTAATATTATAAATAAATAATAATAAAACTTTCAAAAAGAGGACGAGCAGCTCCTTTTAATAAGTAAAACCCCGAGAAGGAGCACACAGTTCAAATCCATGTGGCAAAGCAGCAGGAAAGCAAAAATCTGCGGTTTTCAGCCCATGGGTGATGCTCATGGCATCACCTACAGCAGCATCCCTGGTGTCACCCTCCCTGCTCAGGGATTCTGCCTCACTCCCCTCCTCCCTGCCTCAGTGTCTCTACCTGTGAGAAGATAGTTGCCTCCCTCATTAATCCCTCTGCCATCTCCGAGGGACGCTCTGGGTGAGAGGTTGGCCCGGTGCATTAAGTGCCTGCTCTGGCTCTAATGGGGATTAATTTGGCTTCTGGAGGTTTGCCTTTAACACCCAAGGTGTAATCAAAGGGCGAGCTCAGGCTGACCTGTAACACTCCCTTCCTGGCTGCTCGATAGCCCATTAACCACAACCTGGCTTTTAATTAAAGCCCAGATTTGTCCTTGCTGGAGAAACTCGGACGTGCTTGGCCCCACATGGCTGAGACATTGGAGGGTTGGAAGGAAGGAGACGTGGAGCTCGGGTTGTTCTTCCTTGTGGCATTGCCCCCTCTGGCTCTCTGCATCCCAGCACACTTGTTCCTTGTTATGCTCTATATGCTACAGAATCACAGAATCATGGAATGGTTTGGGTTGGAAGGGACCGTAAAGACCATGTTGTTCCAACCCCCTGCCATGGGCAGGGACACCTTCCACTAGCCCAGGTTGCTCCAAGCCCCATCCAACCCGGCCTTGAACACTTCCAGGGATGGGACCAGCCACAGCTTCTCTGGGAAACCTCTGCCAGTGCCCCTTTCCTATATGCAGCTTGTGCCCCCCATTGTGGGGGATGCAGGGACCTCCTGGGGGCCGTGGGTGCCCCACAAGCATCATCTCCCCGCTCTGAGATTCCTTGGCCATGGAGAGAGCAACAGGGAGGCTTTTGTTCTGCACCAGAAACTTCTCATCCTTCTTTATGCCTCCTTTTTTATTTCTTTTGGCTGCTCTCTCACAAATCTGAAGCAGATTAAAATACAGTTCCTCCCCCCCACACTCGCCTTAAAAAAACCCAACCCCAAAGCTTGGCTGCTTGGAATCATCAGATTTCACTGGAGTCTTTTAAAGTTAACAGTTTCCTGGATCCTGGGCAGGATAACTGATTTTCCCCCTTTAACCTCTGTGTTTTTTGCTGTAACATTTCTCAGCTGTTGCAGCAGGAGGGAGGGAGGGAGAACCAGGGCAGCTCCGATGTGGAGAAGGTTATTCCATGTGGGTGTTGGATGAATCTGGTGTGGGACTCTCTGGACTTGCACCGTGGGGGACTGAAGGGTTGTCCTGGGAGGCTGAGCCCCCACGGCATGGCCGGCAGGTAGGTCATGGCTGCATCGGTGATGTCCCTTTGAGACAGAGTGTTTGGGAAGTGGTTCCATTGGAAGGAGAGAGTAGGATGCTGGGAGTGGGTCGGAGCTCCGTTTCTGCCAACTGTTTATTTGCCAAGGGCTGTGATGGTTTTGGGGACTGGTACAAGAGCGGCACAGCTCAGGTGCACGCAACCGTCCGGAATTTTTCAGGCTTCCTGGGATTTGCTGCCCTAAATGCAGCCTGGATCCTCCTTGCCCACCGCCTCTGCCGTGGAATCTCCTGGTGGAATTGCTGAGCCAAAACCCTGGCTCTGATCAGAAGAGCATCAGAAGTTAAAGGAGTTGTAAAGGAGAGAAAAATGATAGTCCTGCGCCGGTTGGTTTTGTTGCCTCTTTTCCAAGAGTGGTCTCTCCTTCCTTGAAAAAAAACCATCCGGAACTTTCCCAGATGGAGGACGTTTCTCCAGGGTTGTTGAGGGGCTGGAGGCGGCCAACCTTGGCTGATGCCGGTGATTATCAGCACGAGCCCCAGGGCGAGGTGGGGCAGCCAGAGCCTCGTCCTGCAGACACATCCTCGTGCTCTGAGCGTGACCGAGGGGAGTCCCTGAACCGTCCAAAGACCCCTTTGACCCAGGAAACAGAGCGGGGCTGAGAACCAAACCCAGCCCCGCTCCGCTCCGCCGAGCTGCGTGTTAACTCCGCCGGAGCCGGGAACAAAGGTTTTGGGGGCTGGTTTGGGCTTTTTTTTAAAATTTATTTGCAAAGCAAACCAGCTCAGCGGAGCGGAACAAGCGTCGCTGGAGGAGCGGGAGCTGCCGGGTGGTTGCCGGGCTATAAAATCCCATCCCCACCGGCGCTGGCAGGGGGATGTGCCGGCTCCCCGAGCTCTTGCGGCGTTTCCACGTTGGCCGGGAGAGGTTCTGAACATGCGTGTTGGTCTCTGGAGGCTTTAATCAAATCCAGGCTCTACCAGAAGTCTCCTCGAAACTTCCAGCGAGCTGAGGAAACTGAAAGCAGCCGGAGCGAGGAGGCTCCCGGGCGGGTGTTCGGTGCCTGTGGGAATGCTGCCTGTGGTGAGGGGATAGAGCCCGTGGGGCAACCGGGATGAAAGGTGAGTCTAGACCTGGAGATTATGATGGGAAGACAGAGGAAAGCCCAAAGGGTTCGGCAAAAAAGAGACCTCAAGGGGAAAAAGAGCTTCAGGAGTGAGGATGCTGCTTGAAGGGACACTCAGAGGACACACATTGATTTCGGAGCGTCGCTCCCTGGCGTGTTTGGGTTGAGATCCTGCGTTTTCCCCATTGTCTTCTCACCCCGTGCAAAGCGAGGAGCTGTGCAATTGCTGCGCCGTCGAAAACTCCCCGCTCCAGGGGAGGCTTTTGTTATCCCTCGGTGATTTTATTTGGCAAACAGCGTTCAGACTGCAGGTACTTTCCTTGCTTGTTGCCAAACTTCATCGCCTGCCGCGTCCAGCCCTCTCCCGTGGGCAGAAGGGAAAACAAGGTGTATTTTGTTACTTCCTTTTCTGAGCTGGGGGCGGGGGAACTCTGTGCCTGGCCAGCGACGGTTGGGCTCATCCGAGGGCGAACGGCTCGGAGAGAACGATGGAAAGATAAGGAATAATAAATAAGTGCAATTAAAATCCTGGGGGGGAAGGGGGGGGGAGATGATACACCTCAGTCGTTATCCCAGGCAGCTGCTCGGGGTTTAGCCGGGGCTCTCCGAGGGGAGGGAGGTTCTGGTCACGCGTCCCAGGCGTGGTACGTGACAGCCAAAATCGCCGCGCCTTCCTCTTGGCCGCCGCTGCCTCGGGGTTTTCCTGGGGGGGTTGTGCTGGGGAGTTAAAGCTGAAACCTGCAAAAATGCTCTTGAAACCACCAAACCCGGATCTCACACGGGAAAACAAACAAAGCCTCTTTTGCAGACTCCGTGGTCTCCCTGTGATTTCGCTCGGCGGTGCTGCTGTGTGGCCTGGGAATGTCCGTGTCCTCTCCCTTCTGCTGGTGATGCACTGCATGCCAGACCCTCAGTGGTTTTGGAGGGGGGATTCTAAGGGATGAGGAATCGGTCTTGGAAACTGCTGGAGGGGAAAGGAAGGAAAAACTGCCTTGCTCCAAGGCTTTCTGGCTGCTTTCAGTGTTTTTACCCCGTTACTGAGGGGTTTGAGGGACACTAGGGTTGCTTGGATGCAATTCCCAGCCATCCATCTGATGCAGCCTTTAACTGGAAGGGTGACATGTGTAAGGAAAATAGCGGGAGGAGAAGCTCACAGCGGGAGAGGGAAAATCCCAGCCCTGGCTGATCCAGCCCTCTTTGTTTTCAGGTTTACCAAGCTGGGGGCTCAGTTTTGGGCAAGGGTGGCTTCAGCTCAGAGGGGGACGAGTGAGAAGTCACCTTCTTCCCCCTCCGCCTCCCTTTGGAGGGACTGCTGGTCTCCAGAGTGCATCCTGAAGGAGCCTCACATCCATGTGTTTTCTTCCTGTCTCCACAGCCTACCCATGAGCTCGGACTTCCAGCATTACAGTTTCAGGATGCCGAACATCGGGTTCCAGAACCTTCCTCTCAACATATACATCGTGGTTTTCGGCACGGCCATCTTCGTCTTCATCCTCAGTTTGCTCTTCTGTTGCTACTTGATCAGGTAAGGGAAGGTTGTAAGAGGAGTGTTCCCCAAGAGCTTCCCTGGTTCTGAGCCTGCCACTGATCCCTCTCCATCCCAAGAAGAGGGTGGCGTCATCTTATCTCCCCGTGAACCTGACGCCCCTCGAGGCAGTCACATTATCCACTTAAAAAATCCAGGAGACGCACGTGTGCTCAAGCAGGCATGGAATCAAAAACCCTGGGAAGGGGCATTTTACGGTCCCTGCTTTCTGCTCAGTGTTTCAACACGTTTGCCTCTCTAATGAGTAACTCGTGTCCCATGTGCTTAAGGAATGTTTAATACCTGCTCCGTTGGTTATGGGACACAAATTGCTCCTTCAACAGCGCAGTTTGGAGATTAATGATGCAGAGTTGATGTGTTAATCTGAGCGATGGGGAGCGGGACGGGAGGGCCAAAGGTTGTTCCAGTTTGGGGCTTATTTTAATTATTTTATGAGCCGTTGGGGAGATTGTCAGGCTGCTAATTGAGAGGAGAAAACTCTTCCTGCCAGAGGGAAAACAAAAGCCAAGTGGGGAAAAGTGCAGTGCCTGGGGATTGAGGTGGTGATGGGGGCGAGGTGTGCTGAGAACCCGGGATGGGGGGCTGGCTGCACCTCTCCCTGTGGCTGGGAGCAGAGGGCATCACTGCCAGCAGTGGCAGCCAAAATCCTGTGTGCCCAGAGCTCTCCTCTCCAGCTTTTCCATGCCCTTTCCCTTCCCTCTGGCTTTTCAGCTGGCCCCAGCTCCCTGCTTGTCATACATCCATTGCATCCCCTCCCTCTGTCCCCATAAGACAGATTCCCAGTCTCTCCTTGCACCATGGAGCCTTGCTCACAGCAGCCATTCCCACCACGTTTTCTATACAGAAGGTGCTAAAAATATTTTGTCCTGCTTTCGTAGACCTGGGAAGAGAGATTTCCATGTCACCTTCTAAATACTTGATAATTTCCACCCATTTTCAGCTCTGTACAAAGCAAAACCTCATAAAACATGCAGATGAGCCCAGAGTCAAGTTTACCCAGGGGTGATTTGGGCTGCATGGGCATTGTATCTTAATTTTTTCCCCATGATTATGCACAAGGAAAAGGTGTTTTAAGGTGCAGCACATCTGTCCCTCCCGGTAGACAAGGTGGTTGTTCACATTAACATCACAGTGCTCCATGTTAACAAGGTCTGTGCTGGGATTTGCATCCAGTGTTTGCATTTTAACTGGGACACCAGTGGGAGGGGATGCAAAATAAAAAAAATAGACCAAAGGTGTTCAGGAAGGCTCAGGTGGAGCTTGAATCCATACGGCTCGCTTGGAAAATGAAGTGGTGCTTTGGGCTTTGAGAGTATTTTCCTGGGCACCAGGTCTCGCTGGGTGTGTTCTTGCCCCAAAGAAGGAATAACAAGGAGTAATGTCTGGAAGGTCAAGCCAGAAAATCTTTAAATATAGAAGTTGGAGGCGTGTTGTAAGAGAGAGGGTGAGTAACCGGTGGAAGGAGCCAGCAAGGAAGTGGCAAGTCCTGTGTCTCTTCACGTCTTTAAATCAAGACCGAGGACCTTTCTGGACGAGACATTTTGGCTCCCGTTCCCGAGGTGCTATTTAGCGACTTATGATAGATGGGAGGCTGGATTAGATCATCCAGTGATCCCTTTATAGCCTGAAACTCTGTAGAGACTCTACAAATGGCTCTTCAGACCTCCTCCCTCAGCTCTTCTATTGGCAAAACAGAACCAAAACAGGATCCTGCAGCCCCTGTTTTGGAGGGTTTTGCCGTGCCGTGGGTTTTAGCTGTGCCAGTGTCCCAGGAGCATCCGCCTCCACGGAAGCTGCTGTGTAATCACAGCTTGTGAGGGATACAAAATGAGCTTTGGTGGGGTTTGGGGAGCCTTGTGGGTGGAGAGCAGGATGAGGACCACCCACCTGCAAGGGCAGAGAGACCAACCCAGGCAGAGGGCCAGGACGATCCCCTCAGGAGCTCCACTTGTATCCATAGGGGTTATTGCAGATAACAGCACCCCCATAGATGCAGAGTCAACACAGCCTATCCCCTCCCTCTCCCTGCTTTCCCGTGACTCCACATCTGCAAATATTTGGCAAATACCAAGTGAGGCTCGTGACACCACCCTGGTTCTCATGGCCTGCTCTGAATCAGAGCATCCTGTGCAGCTCTCCTCTGCGTCCATGGAAAAGCCAGTGTCTGGTGTATTCACCCCAAATCCAGAGCCGAGGCCTTAAATAAAGGATGTGCCAGGGGAGGAGAGAACATGGGCTGTGCTTCTCAGCTGTGTCAATGCAGAACACGCTGCCAGCTCCAAAGGGAGGAAAAGTGGCATTTTTAGTTAATTGGATTGGCTCAAAAAAGAGTCTTATAGGGATTTCAGCACAAAGCACAGCAAAGGTCATCGTTACCTGTACACTGTCCAGGTGAATCTCGAGCTCTTCTGCTGCTGCAAACCACTCAGGCTGAAGCTGGGGTCCCTCATGGCTGCTGCCTCTGCTTGGAAAAATTACAGATAAAAAAGGGAAGAACAAGGAAATTAAATTTTGCAGGTGGCTGGTTGTGTCTGATCTCTGCTGAATTAATGGAAGTGATAAAATCGTGTTGCCTTTGGTCCCATAAAACCCAGTCCAGAAGGATACTGAGCCGAGCAATGCCATGCTTCACCCTGAGTGAAGGCTGCAGCATCCTCTCTCCATGCTTTCTGCAGGATCATGTGGGGCTCAGCCCAGCCCAGCCTAGGGCAGCTCAAAGTCTCCAGGAGGTGCAGGGAACACAGCCCCTAAAAAGCCCATTTTTTGTGGGGCTGTTTCCTTCTGCATTCAGACCCACCAGGATCCAATGCTGGTGTTATGTCCAGAGAAGGGAACAGAGCTGGGGAAGGGTCTGGAGCACCAGGAGCGGCTGAGGGAGCTGGGGGGGGCTCAGCCTGGAGAAAAGGAGGCTCAGGGGGGACTTTCTGGCTCTGCAATTCCTTGACAGGAGGGAGGAATGGGGGGGGTCAAGCTCTGCTCCCAGGGAACAAGGGACAGGAGGAGAGGAAACAGCCTCAAGTTGTGCCAGAGGAGGTTCAGGTTGGATATTGGGAAAATTTCTCCATGGAGAGGGTTGTCCAGCCCTGGCACAGCTGCCCAGGGCAGTGTTGGAGTCCCCATCCCTGGAGGGATTTAAAATCCCTGTGGATGTGACACTTGGGGACATGGGTCAGTGGTGGCCTTGACAGTGCTGGGGGAATGGTTGGACTTGATGGTTTTGGAGGGCTTTTCCAACTTAAATGATTCTGTGATTCCATGAAGAGTCCAAGGAGCCCAACTGGGTTGGGAACAGCGACAGTGATGGGGCAAAGAGTCAGTGCCTGCCTTTCTATTCCTTCTACTGTGGAGCATGAAATAAGCAGATCTTGGAGGTAAATCTGCAAAAAGTGTTCCCTCTGCATTTTATTCCTGTAGTCGTTCCCTTGCTATAGGCGATTCAGTGCCCCAGAGGAGCAGGGCACTCCCCTTCCTGCGGGCAGACATCCCAAAGCCCCGGAGAGGTGGATATTAAATTGGGGGCTGGGTGACGGCGCGCACACGATCCGCAGCCGCGCGCTGTGTGGTCCCTTATCTCGGGCAGACATCTGCCAGAAATTCCTCCGGAGTCACAGCGCTTGACACGAGATGGATGGAGCCCTGGGCCTGCCAGGATCCGGGGTCTCCTTACGACAGCTGCACCAGGCCTGACCAGGATCCATCTGGCTCTGGATCCTGGCTTTGAGAGGGAAGTGTGGAGGAGCGGACAGAGCTCGCACGCTCCGGCACCAGATGTGCTCGTGCTGCTCCCCATAACCTCCAGGGAGGGATTTTTTGGGAAAAACTCCCTGTCTAGCTCAGCACCAACCCTTGGCATCGTAGCGCCTGTGCTGACAGCCCGGAGCTGCGCAGATCCAGGGCCAGGTGGCTCCTCCTTCCCCATTGCTGATCCAGATACTCCAGTGGCTTTGGCTCACCAAATCCTTGGTGGCCAAGGATCCGTCAGGCGGGTGTTTCTTCCCATTCCGGGAGAGTTTTCCCGTTGTATGTGGTCTGCAGCCGCACGCCGAGCCTCTCTCCATCTGTGTTTCATAACCGCTTTCCCAGCCACCGGATCCCTGCGGATTGGGCCGGTTTCATCCTGTTTTCTCTATTGTTCCTGCATCTTCTGCTCATGTTTCTGCTCGGGGTCACTGGCGGAGGGATGCGACCCCGGCCTCCTCCTCCTCCTCCTCCTCCCCTTCCCTGCCTGCTGCAGTGTTTTTCGTGGTTCTGCAGGAAGGTTCCTGCCAGGCAGCACTGTTGGAGCAGGAGGAATGGCTCCCCGTAAAATTTGGGACTCAGGAGCCAACTTTCCCCATCTCTCTCTGCAGCATTAAGGTGTGTTTTTACCCATTCCTCAACTTTTAAGGCCCACATTTTAGGGGGGATCTGAGCACAAGGATACATTTTTCCACCCTATTTTTATAACTCGCCCACTGCGGCGTGGCAAGATTGGAAAACCCCCGTGAGCTCAGCCAGGGGTTTGAGACAGCCCCCAGAATAATATTTTCGGAGAAATTAAATTCCAGGCAAGGGGGTTTCCCTCTGAATTCACAGTCAGGTCTGGCTGGGGAAAATACTCCTACAGCTCTCCAAGCCCTGCAGCCACACGCTGACTCCTTATGGAAAGTCCTTGGCCAACTCTTTACCTTAGATGTCTTCCCTCCTGAGCTTCCAGAGCACTTCACTAAGAGCCATGTCTGGTAATGAGAGGCAATATTAGTTATTTTTTTATTTTAAATGTATTTATTTTGGGATCATAATGGGCTTCTCCAGCCAGTGTATGCCTGTGGAACGCTGCCCTGGGCTGTGGAAAACAGGCTGCTCTTGGTTTTGGCTCTGGAAAGGGGAGTCTGGAGAGGGAGGGGATGGAACCAGCTCTTTGCTTGTGGCCTCAAATTCCTGCTGCCACCAGCTGGACTTCCCACTGCAGCAGGTGTCCTTGGAATAGGTTCATTCCATTCATCTCCATCCCCTGATTTGCTCCAGGAGTGGATGATCGTAGAATCGAGAGGATAACGCTGAGTTTGAGGAACCCAATGTCTCCTTCCCCATCCTCACTGGAGTAGAAGTGGAGCTTTCCTCAGGTCTGAGCCCCATCACTTGGAAAACAGTGCTGTAGCCAATCTAGGAATTGTTGGCAGCAGAAGTGGTTGGAAACTGAGGGGGATTTGTGGCAGCTTGTGATTTACCCATCAGCTTTTACTGGTCTTAACAGTGTGAGTGGTGTCTGCATGTCCTCAAAAGAGGAACAGGGGAACAGTTGTGTGCTTTGGGATGGAGACATTCCCTTCCCAAGAACAGGGAAAATTGGATGTTTCTTAAACATGTTGTTTCATGTGGCCATTCTCAGTTCTGAAATGAAAAATTAATATATTAGATCTGGAAAGGAGGGAAGGGAAACGTTCGAGGTGTTACAGTAATCCTGGTTTTTTTGCCTGTCCTCACGTTTCTCCCTGGTTTCCTTGCAGGCTCAGACACCAGGCACACAAAGAGCTTTACGCCTACAAACAGGTGAGATGACCCTCAGGAAGTTTCCCTCTCCTTCCCTTCATGCCCAGTGCCAAATGCACACTGGAGCAGCCACTCCATCAGGTTTCCTTGTGCTGATCCTCTCCTTGGGAGGTTTTTGGCCCTGGAAGAGCAGTTGTAACAATCTCTGTCCCTGGTGATTTAATTGTTCTCCACCAGCTGGGCCCCCCAGGACCATCCCTCGCCTGCTCATCCACAGGTCTCCAGGTTTTCTGCCAAGCAGTAGGAACATCCCCAGCCACCAAACCATGTTTGGTGGGGTCTGAATCTGCTCCCAGGGCTGGACCCGGCTGCTCTGAACCCACAGGGCTCTCCCAGGGAACAGCTCCACGTCCCCTTGGCAATCCCAGCTCTACCCTGCACACACCCACAATACCCAGTTAAAATAAACAGGGCCCAGAGGTGGGTGTCAAGTTGCTGCTTCCACGTCCTGTTTTCTCCAGGATTTATGGGATTTTTCTGTTTTTGATCCGTTGTTCAAGCTGGAAACTGGGTGGGGTCAGGGTGGTAGCAAACCGTTGTCCTGGATTTGTGGCCCTCTCCAGGTGTTCAGCCTGGATGGAGTGAGAATGAAGCAGCAGATATCCATGCAGGGGCTTGTGGCAGAGTATGGGAGCCCAGGAGGGTTAAATTTGGGAAGAAACCTCCTGGATTTGGTCCTTGTGTTCATGGTTTTGTCTGTGCCAACACTGCCTTCCTCCTGTCCCTGCTCAGGGGTGAAGGCCCCACACACTCCCTGGCTGTGCCAGGTTTGCTGGGAGGTTCCCAGTTCTACTGGGACACTCAACTGCATCTCTTTATGGAGATTTTTCCTGGGAATGCTCACAGCAGCAGCTCTGTCCTGACCCCAAGCACTTTGTCTTGCAGGTTATACTCAAGGAGAAGGTGAAGGAGCTGAACCTCCACGAGGTGAGCACATCCTGGGCAGCAAAGGCTCCCTCACCTTCCTCTTCCTCACCCTGGGGAGGGGGAAAATCCTCAAATTTAACTCCCTTGGGAGCAGGGCACACAGCCAGGTGTGCTTTGGAAAGGAGGAAAGCACCTCTGCAAAGGTGTGGATTAAACAATCTCCCTCCTCTTGGCTCCCCTCGAGCTTTCACTGCACCATTAATATTATTTATTGCCTTATTATTATGGCAGCGATAAGGAGCTGTGGATAAGGGGAGGCCAAGGAAAGCTGGGCCTTGGATAAACAGTGTCCCTGGGAGGGGACATCCCCTCCGGAGCGTGACGATATCCAGCGCAGCTCTGGGCAGGGAAAACTGGAGTCTGGGACAAACACCCTCCCCCAGCCCCTGGGAGAGGCAGATCCACCTCTCCCTCCCTGCCCCGTGAGGTCTGAGACACCTCCCTTGTTCTCCATGATCTTCCAGGCCTTTTGGGGCTGAGTGTCCCTACTTACAGCCCCTTTTTCCCGCTGAAGTTGAGCAGGAATGTGCTCGAATCCCACGTCAAACACGGGCTGGATTTATTTATTCCCCTAAAGACAACAGCAATGCCCACCCACGTCCCGGGCACGAGGCCACTCATCTGCTCAGTGCCAGCTCCAGTTGTTTATAAGCCACTATTTATTTTATTTTAATTCCCAGGGCAGAGCCCATCCCACGTTTTATCCTCACCCTCCGCTCCCCGTGGCCGGGGGGTAAATCCCAAGGGCCCCAGGGTTCCAAGCAGTCCCTGCTGGAGGCCCCTATTTCTGATCCCCTCCCTGCAATCGACCTGCAGTGCTTTTTTTTTTTGTCGGCAAACGGACTTCAAAGCACTTCCCAGGGTTGTAGGAGGGATTTGGGAATGTGCCAGGGTCAGGAACAGCAGCAGTAACGCTCTGTCCTGCTCCGTCCCTCCTCCTCTACGTCTGTTCCCAGCTCTCTGGAGCTCTCCCAGCTTTTGGGGAGGACAAGGAGTCTTTGGGGAAGGACGTGGAGCAGCTCAGGCTTTTTCCTGGGGTTTGTGAAAGGCTGGAAGGGTTTTGCTCCAAAATATCCCTTTTTGGGCATTTGGCTCCTGGCCTTTACAGTAAGTGTTTCTGGAAAGCAGAGCACGGGGTGGGAATTTTCCAACATGACGGGGCGACCGCCCGGAGCCCTGGGGGGGGCCAGCCCTTCCCCCTGTCTCTGGGTTTGGTTTTCCCCTTTTTCCATCATTCCGCCTCTCCCAGGCCCTGGGGGAGCTCGGGATGTGTGTGTTCCTTGGGGGATGGTCCCGGCAGCTGCGCCTGGCCCTTGTTGTGGACAGACACAGATCCCGGGCCGAGGGGGCTGGGAAAACCAGCTGGGAATACCCAGAATCTCCAGGAATATCCAAAATGAGTCACGACTAAGCAGGGAAGGAGTTTTCAGCTTAGTCTTTTGCCTGCTGGGAAAACAGCAACCACCTTTGCCTTTTCCTGTTCCTAGAGTTATCCCTGTGCATGCAGCTCAGGCCCGGGGACAGCAGCAGTGTGGATCCGTCCCCCTGCACCCTAAAAGCTCCTGGCACATCAAACACATCCCAGCTTCGTGGCTGTTGCTCTGGGAAGGCTCCAGGTTCCCTTCCACCAGGAAAGGGAGACCGCAGGCTGAGCCTGGGCAGTAAAATTTGGGAAGGTTTTAGTGAGGATTTCACCCCTCTGATGCAGGTGGTGAGGCCCTGGCACAGGTTGCCAGGAGAAGCTGTGACTGTCTCATCCCTGGAAGTGTCCAAGGCCAGGTTGGACAGGGCTTGGAGCAACCTGGGCTAGTGGAAGGTGTCCCTGCCCATGGCAGGGGGTGGGACTGGATGATCTTAAAGTCCCTTCCAACCCAAACCATTCCATGATTCTCTGATTTTGGCTGGTTCAGAGCCGTCTGTGTATTTTTTTATGGGCAAACGTTGCTTCCTGACCACTGACCTTCCCTCTGCATCTCAACCCTTCCAGATCTGTGCCGTGTGCCTGGAGGAGTTCAAGCCCAAGGACGAGCTGGGCATCTGTCCCTGCAAACATGCTTTCCACAGGAAGTAAGTGTGGGCACTGGGATTGGGGCTGGGGGTTCCTGGCCTGAGGCCTCCTGGTGCTGCTGCTCCTCCCCAGGGGCTTTTTCCACCCCCATTCCAGGGGCAGGAATCACAGCCCCTTGTTGAATGAATTAGAGCATGTGGAGCAGCAAAGATACAATCAAAAGCTGGCAAAAGTGCTTCACATATATATATATATATTTAGATATATATGTATGTATATATAGACATATATACACACTTTACATATTCCAAGCTCTTCATGTCCCTTGTGTGTGTGTATTTACATCTATAAAATTTATATAAATGTATAAAATAGATCCCCAGAACCACGGTAACAGCTCCCCAGGGATCTGCAGGGACCATTTGGGCATCATTCCAGGGTCTGGGGTTCAACTTGTAGGTTGCCTCATGCTGGGTCAGGAGTTGGCCTTGGTGATCCTCATGGATCCCTTCCAGCTCAGTCTGTAATTCCATGAAAAATGTAAATATATATATATTATATATGTGTGGTTTATATAAAGCAAACTCACTAAAATTTACATTACTACATAATAATGTTGTGTTTTATATAATAACACTATATAATATATATGTTATATATATAATATATATACTATATATAATATTACATATATATTTGTTATCCAATACTATGTAATATTCTATTATATATACATACATAATATAGTATATATAGAGTATATATAATATATATACTATATATTCTATATATATGCATATATATGTACACACATATATACATAGTATATATACACATAGTATATATACTAGATATATTTATAGTATATAATATAGATATATTTATAATTTTTATATAACACATTTTTATATTTACTTATACATCATGTGTTTTATATATTATTTTTATATTATTTTTATTTTATATTATTATCCATGTACTGTATGTTTTGTATATTTCTATATGTATATGTTATATATTATGTAATTATATAATAGAATATATAACATTTAATAGTATTGTATATATAATTATTCACATATTTTATATCTTCATTAATTTATATATACATTATATATATGATTATATATATTATTCATAGCTTATGTATAATTTCTATGCATATTTGTATGTATTCATAGACATCTTTAGTGTATATATTTTATTTAATTTTTGTACGTGTATAAATTTTTATATCTCTATTTTATAAACATAAATATAAATTTTATGTGTATATATATATATATATATAAAACCTATCTACACAAAATCCATGTATTTACACACACACACACAAAAAAAAACCCAATAAACTATAAAGGCACCCAAATGGTGAATTAAAAATTGGAGGCAGCAGCAAAGCCCCAGGGGGAGGGGTCAGTGGGTTTTAGGGGGGGATTTTTGCAGCCCCCCCATTAATGCTGGGTCTGTCCCCACTATTCCAGGTGTGTCCCCATTATTCCGTGTGTGTCCCCACTATTCCACGTGTCCCCACTATTCCAGGTGTGCCCACTAATGCCGGGTGTGTCCCCACTATTCCATGTGACCACGCTATTCCTGGTGTGTGTCCCCACTATTCCAGGTGTGTCCCCACTATTCCACATGTGTCCCCACTATTCCAGGTGTGTCCCCACTATTCCATGTGTGTCCCCACTATTCCAGGTGTGTCCCCACTATTCCCGTGTGTCCCCACTATTGCCAGGTGTGTCCCCACTATTCCATGTGTGTCCCCACTATTCCGTGTGTCCCCACTATTGCCAGGTGTGTCCCCACTATTCCAGGTGTGTCCCCACTATTCCAGGTGTGTCCCCACTGTTCCAGCTGTGCTCCCACTACTCCAGGTGTCCCCACTAACGCCGGTGTCCCCCCGTGTCGCGCAGGTGCCTCATCAAGTGGCTGGAGGTGCGGAAGGTGTGCCCGCTGTGTAACATGCCGGTGCTGCAGCTGGCACAGCTCCACGGGAAGCCGGATCCCGGCCCCCCCCAGGGCCCCCTGCCCGGGGCCCAGAACATCGTATAGTGCCCTGCGGGGCCGGGCCGGGGCCGCTCCCGCCCGCGGCACTCGGACACAGCCAAAGCACCGGGGACGCAGCCGGGGAGCCCCAAATCCCGACGGATGAAGGGCCTGACCCTCGAGCCCGGGCTCGGTTCCTCCGCCGGGGCGAGGAGGGGGCTCGGGATCCTCAGCACCACATCCTTCTTCCAGCACATCCCTTCTCCAGCGCCGCGGCCGCCGGGAAGCAGCGCGGTGGCACCTGGAGCGCCTCGACGTGTGTCCCCCCCACCGGCTCCCGGTGCCTCCCGCGCCCGCCAACGGTGCCCCAAACGCTGGGGGGACCCTGGAGCACCACGACCGGTTCCTGCTCCCTCCTCTTCGCCTTTGGTTCCTTTGCCTTTGCCATTCCCACCAGGAAATGGGGTCTGGCCCCCGGGATCGTGCTGCGGTTGGGTGCCCCCTCAGCGCCGGTGTCACCCCCGGGGGGCAGCGGGTGGTGGCTGTGTGGGGTCTCCTGGGTTTGGATTCCCCACCCACCCTGCCTGGGGGTGGTTGTCCCCCTCCTCGGCTACCTCAGGAGTCCCTGGAATGGGCACCATCCTGGTGTCACCCAATAGCAGTGAGAGCCATGGCGTGGAGGGGGTAGGCAAAAATCCTGGCTTTTGGGATCATCCCATCGCTTCCAGCCTGGCCCCCCAAACCCACCTCCTTGTGGTGGGGAGCTGGGCCACCCCCTCACCTCTCCAGCCACAGGTCTGGGTGTCCCCCGCCATCCTCACAACTCGTATTCCCTGGATTTTGGGGAGGGGGGGTGTCAGTATTACACGGCAGCGGCTTTCCCGGGTGCAGGGCTGGGGGTGCTCCGGGTGCCGTTCCCCCATCCCGTAAATTCCTCCCAGGACTGTTTATGGAGCGTGGAGCCTCATAGACGTGTTTGTACACTACGGATTCTGCAGCAGAATATTTTTTAAAACATTCGCTGTTTTGGTTTTTGGTTTTTGTTGTTTTTTTTTTTTTCCTCTTGTTCGTTTGGTTTTTTTGTAAGCTCTATTTTTGTATATTTAATTGCTATTTGGAAATTCTAATAATGCGTCTTTTTTGCTAATCACACTCTTCTTAAGGAAAGGAAAAAAAAAACATACAAAAAAAAAAAAACAAACCAAGAGTTCCGCATGTGATTTGACTTGAAATGTAAATAAAAGCAGGTTTTGGAAGCGGGGGTGTGTTTGAGGGGGTCTGTCCCCCCCATCCCTCATTCCTGTGTCGCCACGGGGATGTCTCCAAAGGGAGTGGGACCCCAGAGGGGCTGGAAGAAGGGCTGGTTTGGGGTTGGGGATCCTGCTGTCCATGTCTCCCTGCCCCAGCACGTCCCTATCCCGGTGCAGATCATCCCTCCCGGCCGCTGCCGATGGGGACACCACTCGCTGAGGGCATCCCAAAATCCCCAGCCAAGGGAGATTTGGAGGGTTCCAGGCACAGCCTGGGCTTCCCTTCTTAGGAAGAGGATATTCCTCCATAAAACAACCTTCCCAGCCCAAATTCCGGCCCAACCCCCTAAGGCCAAGCTCCCATAGGATTCGGGGGTTCAGCTCCCAGCCTCTGTGCTCTGGGATCTCCTGGGGTTCAGCTCGGAACTGCTCACCTCGTTCCATCCCTGCTCTTCCCCCAGGTGTGACCAGATGGGTGGAAAAATCCCCTTGGATTGTCCCCACGGGGGTGGCTGAGCTGGAGCCATCCCGGGGTGGGATCCCTGCAGGACCCTGGTGTGGAGGAGGAAGCAGGAACCCCACCATGCCCTGTCCCGCTGTCCCTGTCCTGTCCCTGTCCCGCTGTCCCTGTCCCTGTCCCGCTGTCCCCCGACCCTGCCCGGCGCGAGGGGCTGCTGCCCTCTAGTGCCAGCTGCTTCCCGGCACCGCATCCCACCTGGAGATCCCACAGGAACGGGATGCGTTGGGTTGGAATGGACCTTAAAGCCCTTCCAGTTTCAACCCCTGCCATGGGCAGGGACACCTTCCTCTAGAATAGGTTGCTCCAACCTGGCCTTGGACACTTCCAGGGATCCAGGAGCAGCCACAGCTTCTCTGCCCAACCTGTGCCAGGGCCTCCCCACCCTCACAGGGGAGAATTTCTCCCTAAAAATCCTGTCTAAATCTACCCTTTTCAACTTAAAGCCTTTTCTCTACTGTTCTCCTTCACCTTCTCCAAAAGAATCCACAGGGACTGGCTGCCCTCCCAGCCATTTTAGGATGATGATCTTGTGGGATAATTCCTGCTGCTGGGACAAAGTCTGGATCTCACACCAACCTGCACAAAACAGTTATTTTTGGTGCTTCCACCCCCACAGCTCCTGCTCTGGCTTGATGCTGCACCTCCACCTCCAGTCCCATCCATATCATTCCTACATCAAAGGCCAAAGGGCCTCCAAAGCAACAATCAGCAAATATTTAATCAAACCCAAAAATGCTGCAATTTGCCCCAGAATAACACTTAAATTTTTTTTCCCCCTCTCCTTTAACATGCTTTAAAATACACCTGATTCCCAGAGCCTGGAACATGCAGGGAGGGAAGAACAATCAAAGATTGCCAGTGATTCTTTTCAATCGGGTTCTAAAACCCCAATTCCCCCAGCACATTCCTGCTCACTCCCACCAACGTCTGTCCCACTGCACTGGAGCTCCAAGAACGAGACAGGAAGCAAACAAGGGGTTCAAGCATGTAAAAAATAACTGTGATATTTTATTACAAGAAGAAAAAAAACAAGCAGTTTACAAAAAAAAAAAAAAAAAAAAAAAGGACAAACACTATGCCAGGGACTTTGGTGCTGGGATCAGACCGTGCTGGATCTACTCCAAATCCAGAGAAAAAGGAGTTACACGAACACAGGAGATGCCAAGGGATGCTGTGCCCAGGGACACCAGTGCCTGGGGGCAGGGGCTGTGCTGGGTCAGGCTGTGGGATTGGTGCTGGGAATTCCTGCAGAGATTTCCCAGCTCTCCACAGCCAAGGTGGTTCTGCCATCCCCAACCCTCAGTTCCTGCTTTAACAAAGCCCAGCCTTTTCCCCGTGTATCCCAAGGATTCACACCCTCCCCACACCCAGCCCAGCCCAGCTGATACACCAAGGGGCCACACAGGTCCCAGGCACACAGACATTCCAAAAAGCCAAAGTTTTCCATGAGTTTTGGCCATGAGGGCGAGCGAAGCAGCAGCTGGGGGGTGTGTCTGCGTGTGTGTGTGTGTGTGTGTGTGTTTTAGACTTTGTGTGGTACATTTTCTGTGGTACAGAAAGAGCCGAGTCTGGACACCCTTCAGGCAGCACCTGGGAAGTGGAGCTGTTTTTAATGCACCAAGTTTGGGCACCTTTTGTGTGATTTCCTAAGAACTGAAGAATAAATGGGAAAGTGAACAACTCACCCAGAGAAGCTGTGGCTGCCCCTGGATCCCTGGAAGTGTCCAAGGCCAGGCTGGACGGGGCTTGGAGCAACCTGGGCTAGGGGAAGGTGTCCCTGCCCATGGCAGGGGGTGGAACTGGATGATCTTTAAGGTCCCTCCCAGCCCCAACCATCCCATGACCTGTATGATCCTGCTCCCAGCCCTCTGAAGCACCACGTTATGGAATACAGAGCAGGACACAACCAAAACCTGTCACACTGCAGGAAAAGCACATTTTCTTTCCCATCCAGCACAGATCACCTTCCATGTGAGCTCTGTGCTCTTTTCCCCCTATTTTACTGTTGTAAAATCCGTGGCTGTGTCCCAGATTCCAGCCCAGACTCAGGTGAGGTTTGGGAGATGCTCCACTCCGTGTCCATGGCCTGGACTTACCCAGCAGAGCTGACAGGGGCACCACACTGATCTAACCAGCAAAGCAAACACCTCCTGAATCCAGAGTTTCTTCCCTTTCCAGAGGGAAGCACCACACAAGGATCCCACCTCGGGATGCAGCAATGGGTAGAGCTGGATGGGTCTTACAAGCTCCCAGCCCTTCCACCTGGGTTCATGAGGGGTGTGGGGATCAGAGGAGCTGGAATTCAGCTTCTCTGGAAAGAAACCAGGATCTTAAAGTGTGTGTTGGAGTCATTCCGATATCCTGGGATAAAGCCCGACAAGTGTGACCTGATGTGAAGGATCTGAACAGCTTCCCCTGCTCAGGGAAGGGCAGCTGCTCCATGGAGCTGCTCCCTGGGAAGCCAGAGCAGCTCCAAAGCCGTGTCTCCATGAGTTCCCATCCTGAGGGAAGGTACAGATACCTCGTTGCTTTGAGAGAGCATTTATTGAGTGTGCAGGATCCATCCCAACCCCCATCCCAAGGGTGCAGCTTCCACAGGGGTTCCACCTCACTTGCAGGCTGTGTGGGAGCAGGCACAGGGAAAACTGGGAGCACAGCACACATGTGGGAAGGGGGAGGACTCCCCAAAAACGCCAGGAGTGCAGCCATTAATAAATGCAACATGGAACACGACAGAGATCCGAGTGTGACTGAAGGAAACGTCTCTTTGGTGGAGTTCTGTGCAGCCAAGTTTGATAATGGAGGGAAAATCCCGAACAAACAAACAACAAATCCCACCATTTCATCCTCAAATTTGCTTTTAGATCTCAAGGTTGGAGGCTGACAGACAGACACCCCTAACACTGTCCCAAACAGGCTGTGTAGGAGTGCTGGAGGCTGAAATGGGAATCCCCCCAAGGCACAGATCCGTGCTGTGCCGTACCTTCCATCCCTAGGACAGAGATAAGGACGTGTGGAACAGGAACAAAGCCTGGCTGCCAGCACAGGGTGTCCCACAGGCCACCACGGATCAAGTGCTCTGTAGGGAGTTACACAACAGAGCTAATGCTGATGCTCTTCCCTCTTCCCAGACCATTCCCAGCACGTGGAGAACGCGACAGCTTTGATTGTGAACACAGAACTGTGACCCGGGCGCTCGGCGCTCCGAGGGATCCTGGTGGGAGGAGCAGAGTGCCCGTCCCCTGCTTTGTCACCGTCATTAAACACGGAGTAAACTACCTAAAAAGGGCAATTTGATGTGACTGAAATGCCCCACAGACCTTCCCATACACCCCAACATCCAGCCAGTGTTTCCCACGCACGTCCTTTGGAACAAACCTGCGCTGGCATCCCAGATGGATTTCAGCTCTTAGAGACAAACACCCAGCCCTGGGCTGACCCCACAGGGCACCCCAGAGAACAGTCTGAGCAGGTGAAACGTGGGCTGTGACCTCCAAACCAGCAGCCCAGGGAGTGCCCCGAATCCATGGGTCCAACAGAGAGTCTGCAGGGGGTCAGGCGGAGTCCAGGAGTTCCAGGAGAGCACCGACCGCGCCGAAGTAACCCTGAGGAACAACGGGAATATCACTGAGAACTCAGACGTGGACACACACCTGACACAACAGTCACAGCCACAGAATCATGGAATGGTTTGGGTTGGAAGGGACTTCAAAGATCAACCACTTCCAACTCCCCCCTGCCATGGGCAGGGACACCTTCCACTACACCAGGTTGCTCCAAGCCCTGTCCAACCTGGCCTTGGACACTTCCAGGGATCCAGGGGCAGCCACAGCTTCTCTGCCCAACCTGTGCCAGGACTTCTCCACCCTCACAGCCAAGAATTCCTTCCCAGTATCCCATCTAACCCTGCCCTCTGGCAGTGGGAAGCCATTCCCTGTGTCCTGTTCCTCCAGGTCCTTATCCAGAGTCCCTCTCCAGTCCTCTTGGAGCCCCTTTAGGCACTGGAAGGTGCCCAAAGGTTTCCCTGGAACCTTCTCTTCCCCAGGCTGTTACACATATGGTGTATATAAAGGAAAGACACAACTGCAGGTAGCTACACTATAAAATAAGAAATAAAATAAAATACAAAAATCTGACTTCAATGGCTGTATGAGGAAGCAGAACTGCAAAACAGTTACACATCTAAACTGAGCAAATGGTTATACAGTTCACAGACAAGACGAAATTGGTGCTAAACAATTCCACTACCAGCTACTGGAACAATATCCCTGTTTTTCCTGACCCTGCCCCGAGGACCTGCTGCACTCTGGGTGCCACCAACAGCTCCACGGGGCTGCTTCCAGAGCATTCACATTTTCCCGTGAGAGGAAAGAGATTTTAAAAAGGAAATTTCACCTCATGTTCCAAGAAAAGTGCTTTTAACTGTCCCTTTGACCAGTAGTCCAGGGCATATGCCAGGAGCCTCATGGAGATGGTGTTGATCCGAAGGAAGTTGCCCACGAACACCACACGGTTGATGTTCTGCAAGTGTTTAGGGAAAAAAAAGGGAGTATTAAGGCTAAATTCCTTTTTCTGCTTGTACTGATGAAAACCCCACGTGGGGAAGGGGCTGGAGCAGCAGGAGCAGCTGAGGGAGCTGGGGGGGGCTCAGCCTGGAGAAAAGGAGGCTCAGGGGGGACCTTCTGGCTCTGCAACTCCCTGACAGGAGGGGGGAGCCGGGGGGGGTCGGGCTCTGCTCCCAGGGAACAAGGGACAGGAGGAGAGGAAACGGCCTCAAGTTGTGCCAGGGGAGGCTCAGGTTGGATATTGGGAAAATTCCTTCATGGAAAGGGCTGTCCAGCCCTGGCCCAGCTGCCCAGGGCAGTGTTGGAGTCCCCACCCCTGGAGGGGTTTAAAAGCCGTGTGGATGTGGCACTTGGGGACAGGGGTCAGTGGTGGCCTTGGCAGTGCTGGGGGATGGTTGGACTGGATGGTCTTAGAGGGCTTTTCCAGCCTTAATGACTCTGTGATTCCATGAATTGTCTGCTGAAAGTGTTGGGCAGGATCTGCAGAACATTAAAAACACCCACAATTCTCTCAGAAAGCAAGGCCAGGTCACTTTAACCCAGGCTCTTCTTCACTGCCCAGAAATCCCTGCAGCCTTCCCAGCTCAGGAATTTGAATGGAATAGTTGATTTTGCTATGAAATCCTTATACTGACTGGGAACACTGACCACCAAGTGCCATCTCCCCTCTCTCCTCTGAACTCCAGCCTTTGACTCATCATTAAACAGCTGAGTGACTCTCTACTGTTAAACTGAAGGAAAAAAACTATTTGGAAGCCCATAACCAACACAATTCTGAAAGAAAGGAAAAGACCAACCAATATATTAGATTCAAGTCAGACTTCCAGCCTAACTTTAATCCCAAAATAGTTCTCCTGAGCCAAGTGAGGAGCTTTGAAGTTGCTTGTTCTCCAACAAGAAAATAAGTCAGTTCAGGGCTGTTTAGGACACGTCTTGCATTGTTTTGTCAGCAAATGAAGGTAAAGAAAGATCCAGGAGTCAAGAGGATGCCAGATCCCCTAGCTCATCCCATGGGAGCAGGCTCAGGATGCAGTGCAGAGGATGCCTCTGTTCTTTCATAGCCCTGTACAATGCTGCTTGACATGAATGCAACAAGGCAGCACTGTAAAGAAGCTGAAAGCCCAGAGATACAGGAACGGCCGTGGGGTTGGTGGGGCTTGGCCAAGAAATCCAGAGCAACTCGTAAAAAAAACACAAGGGAGACATCCAGCCTCCACATCCTCCACCCCTCCTTTCCTCCTCTCCCAGAGCTGTTCCTCAAACAAGAGGCACGTCCCTCAAACAGGCAGCAGCACAGAGGTGATGTTCTAGTCAGGGAGCAAGGGAAGAGATCCCCCAAAATACCTCGTTGAGCGCACACATCCGCGCTATGGAGCCGATGTTGTTGGTGATGGTGATTAAGGTGGCCCTGGCCAGGTCCTCCTTGCTGACAGACTCCCTCTTCTCCTTGCTCATCATGTTTCCAAAGCTGTCAAGACAGTTTTAGGGTTAAAGGTCCCATCAGAATTCCAGGAGACAATGGGAACTGCTAATGTAACTGAAGCAATTTATCTTGAAGGATTGATTCCTATGATTTCTAACTTCAAAAAGCGTTGCTATCAGTAACTCAAGATCTCTCAGGAATGGCTGCTCTCCTGAGCCACCTAAATCCAGATTTTCACGCTTGCAGGACCTCCAGTGAAAATAAAATCCAGGGAGGTCGTTTACCTGGATGCCACAGCCCAGCCTGGCAACCCGAACCGCTCGTAGTCTCCCCCGTAGATGTCCCGCACCAGTTTGTCCACTTTGGTGCTGTCCCCCTGGGATGCCATTTCCAGGGCCTCCTCGAAGGTGGAGCATCCTGTGAGAAGGCAGCAGAGACCAAAAAAGGTTCCACCTCCAAGGCTGCAAGTAAAACAGAATTAAAAACTTCCTTTAAATCTGTTCCTTTCACATAGTTTACAGCCTGTAAGGAATCCCTCACAGCCTTCTGCACAGGCCATTGGTGCTAAACGAGACCTTAACTTTCTATTTTACACCATCCACCTTCTTCCCAGCACTCAGGAGATGTTAATCTTAAAATAAATATTAGTTCTGAGGGATAACTGGAGTGTCAGGGCAGAGCCATCCAAAACCTGGGGAAAAAACTTTGTCGTGTTCACTTCATCGTGCACAGATCCCAATAATGATCTGTAGTAAGAACTGTACTGAGGGGCTTTACAATCATTATTATTATTACAATTATTAATATTATTATATTATTTCTTCATTATTCATTATTACTGCTAACTTTCTGGGTCTTCAGGAAAGCTTAAAGCTACAGAAATATTTTGCTTTGCCTGGACACAAGAGCCACATCTTCAGGAAGGGCAAGAACTGGGGAATTACTGCTAAGTCATCATCTCTTCCACCAAAATCAGGCAAATTCTGGAAGTCAGGATGGAAATCTTGACTGCTTGGATCAAGGTTAAGAGTTGTTAAGATGATCACTGTATTTGGGATAATCCCAAACTAGGTGATCTAATCATGCAGATCAGTAAAACCCTTAAATTCCTGCAGCAGGGCAACTGAAAAACCAGCTTTGACAGAGACTGGCTGCAGTAAAGACACCAAAACGTGAAATCCAGATCCTCTCTTCCAGGAGGGATCTTTGCTGGCAGGGAGAAGGGACTGCAGTAAAAGCAGGAGCTTGGTCATTCCACACACCACCTTTACTGCAGTTTGTCCCTGAAAATGTGAATTACAAGGCAGGAATGTGTTCCAGACTCCAAAATAAAACTCCCTTTTTTCCCCCCTCAGCGCTCACCTGGTGCCCGTTACCCGTTTATAGTTTTCTTTGGAGTAGACAGCCAGAATGCTGACCCCTGAGCCAATGTTCACCAGGAGGAGAGGGTATGGATTCTCCAGGTTGAATGGGAGCTTCTGGCACCTCTCAGCATCCGTTGGGTTCTCAAAATAGTAACACTCTGAGTGTCCATTGAATCCCACGGAGTCGATGTACAACACTCCTTTAATAAGGCAGTCGAGTTCATCGAGCTTACAAAGCTCAAGGTCACCCATCTGGTGGGAAGGAAAAAGAGGAATATTGAAGGAGCAGGCAGGGATGTGAAGGGCTTATGGCCAGGGCTGGAAAAATGCATTCACTGCCAGCTCAGTCCAAGCTATCTCCATGCTCCCTGCAGAGCCTGGGGAAGAACAGGTCACAGGAGAGCAGGGGGAGTCCCAGCTATCCCAACCTTCTGGTGTGCAGGTATGAAACAGGGAAAAATATACACAGATGGACACAGAGAGAATCCCACAAACTCCCATAAGCCTGATTCAGGCCCTGACGCTGAGGCACTGGCATGAAAAGTCAGGAGAAGTGAGGAGGGGCTTCTTTGTTTGGCCAAAATATCCAACAAAACCCATCCAAACAAACATCAAAAAAAAGGTGAAGGAGTTACAAAATTATGTTCCCCTCATGCCACTGCCTCAACTGCACAAAACTGGATATTAGGAAAAATTTCTCCGCTCAAAGGGTTGTGCTGCCCAGGGCAGGGGTGGAGTCCCCATCCCTGGAGGGATTTAAAAGCCCTGTGGATGTGGCACTTGGGGACATGGGTCAGTGGTGGCCTTGGCAGTGCTGGGTTAAGGGTTGGACTTAGTGGTCTTAAAGGCCTTTTCCAACCTCAGTGATTCCATGAAAAGCCCCTTTTATTTGCATTTTTCCAAGCCCTGATGAAACAAGTATTTATCACACATGTTTTTCACCTGTGAACAAGGATCCAACCCAGAACGAAGCCACATGATGAAGTCAAACCCCCAACTGTGAACTTCCTGACAGTTCAATTTACCCCCAAACCTGACTGAACTTCAACCCTCTCACTCACACATGGGTGTCAGAAATGAAACCAGGTGAGCAAAGAAAGAAAATAAAGCAGGTGAAAGACGGCAACGAGAGAAAAAAAAAATAACCCACGAGACCGAGACCAGCAGCAGCAGAGATTAAAAATAGAGAGGAAGATTTGGAAGGAAGAACATTAGTGAGCAATTAATTTAGAGTGACAGGACGTTACATGAACATCAGGGAAGAAAGTTCATGGAAGAAGGTGTTTTAATTTGGACAGTTCAACCTCACTCCATACGGCAATTCCTGACTGGAGTTACGGGGGGGGGGGGGAGACACTTCCGAAATCAAGATTTAGGAGTTTTAAAGAGTCTGCAAGAGGGAGTTTTCTAGTTCTAAGCCCTCAAAGAAACGTCACTACCAGATTCCTAACGGTATAGAAGCCAAAAATGCCTACTGTGCGAAAGTCCTGCTCAAATTTGTACGCTCCACCTCCCGTGGCACATAAGGTAGTATGGAGGCTCGAGAAGTGCTTTTCGCTTCCCATTTGGATAAAAGCAGGCATGTCATGGGTAGGAAAGCGTATAAAGTGCAGATTGCCTTTACGTCCACACAGGGTAAGGTCCCTGAGCTCAAGGTGCACATCCCGAATGCCTGTGGAGCCATAGGCTACGTTGGATGTCAGGTATTTGCGGATGCTTTTGAGGTTTTCCACTTCTTCCTCCTCCTCTTCCGCCGTGATGTCCTTGGGTTCAAAATAGACGAGTTTCACCAGGGTCCCTCCGATGTCCAGGCCAAACCAGGGAAAGACTAAAGAGAGAGGAGACAAGGAGAAAATGAAACAGGGTGTGGTGCTGCCACGGCACCAGCACCCTTTCCAGTGGAAAGGCTGGAATTAGATGATCTTTAAGGTCCCATCCGAACCAAACCATTCCACGGTGCTGTGAAAATAGTTACAAACTGAATTAACTCATGGAATTCTCCAGGGACCCGTGTGGTCTGTTTAGTTTCAAGTGGAAAGCAAAGACAGGAATGTTGGCAGCCTGAAATGTCTTTTACAGGGGATTCCTCCAATGTTGAGCACAACTCCTGTTTGGAGATCCCTGGAGATCAGGAGCTCTGAATATTTGCTGTACAACACTCAAAACACTGACACTCTCCCCCCCAGGATCTGACAGTATCCATAGCCCCCACCACCAGATCCTGCTGCAGGTTTAATCCCCAGCTCTTCCTCTTCCCAAGTTCTGAGCTGGAGCCAGAGCCATGGATAACACCAGTGCTTTTACATCAAAGGGATGTACAAACGTTCCCTAATTACAACACGGAGCTGAGGTAGACAAGTAATCTAAGATGCCCCAGGGAGACAAAAACAAATGTCTAATTGGATTATTTTATTAGTCAAATTCCCCCATGGTACAAAATATGCATCAGTGTCAGGCCCAGCAACATTTGCAGCTGTGTTGGATAATGAGCTTCTTGGAACAGATCAAGAGAAACCCCTGATCTGATGGAATCTGCGATTAGAGCTGGGAACTGGAACAGATTAATATCACTATTAATGAGCTGAAGGAGAGGCTGGAGCTAACGAGATGCACGGGCTCCACAGCAAAGGGAGAGATGCAGCCACATGTTCAGGCTCAAGGCAGCAGGATTAAACCCTTACAGTGTGTTCCAGAAGGAAAAAAGGAATGTTCAGAAAACAAACCCGAATCACAGAATCATAAAGTTTGGAAAAGCCCTCTGGGATCATCCAGCACTGCCAAGGCCACCACTGACCCATGTCCCCAAGTGCCACATACACAGGGATTTTAAATCCCTCCAGGGACAGGGACTCCAACACTGCCCTGGGCAGCTGTGCCAGGGCTGGACAACCCTTTCCAGGAAGAAATTTTCCCAGTATCCAAACCAAACCTCCCCTGGCACAGCTTGAGGCTATTTCCTCTCCTTCTGTCCCTTGTTCCCTGGGAGTAGAGCCCGACCCCCCTCCAGCTCCCCCCTCCTGTCAGGGAGTTGCAGAGCCAGAAGGTCCCCCCTGAGCCTCCTTTTCTCCAGGCTGAGTCCCCCCAGCTCCCTCAGCTGCTCCTGCTGCTCCAGCCCCTTCCCCTGGGCACACTCCAGCATCACCAACTGAAAGAAGGATCTGAAAGAAGGATCTTGCATTTTAGTGTAACTCCTACAGGTCAGAGACAGGGGTGGTAACACACTGCTGTTATTTGTGCACAATAAGTTTTCATATCTGCAGAGAGATAAGGGTGGAACACAAAGAAGCCCTCGTTCCTCCCATCCTTTCCAGCTGGAATCCCTCAGGTCAGGCTCTTTGTGGAATGATCTTTGCACAGCCACCAGCCCAGCAGGCTTGAGGAGGACGTATTCTCCCCTCAGCAGGTTCACCTGGTGGCTGTACAGCCCCTTCCAGAGCTTTCCAGCTCCCGGGAGCTGCTGGAGCCGGCAGCTCCCCACGGTATTTTTAACCCACGGAGTTATTTATACATATTTCCACAGAGGCCACCCCCAACCGTCACCAAAGGAAATCTTGAAAGGAGATGCAGAGCTCTATTTTTGGAGACGCGTCCAAATCCCAATCACTCCCCATTACCGAGGCATTTACTTCAAACAAGAACAGACATAAAAATAACTTTTCATGAATGAAAGGGAAAGGAATCTGAATGGCAGCCCAACAGAGGGAGAAAGCAAGAGCAAACCAAGGACTTTTACATGTGTAGATAGCGACAGGACAAGGGGTAATGATTTTAAGCTGAAAGAGAGTAGGTTTAGATTGGATATTGGGAAGAAATTCTTCCCTGGGAGGGTGGGGAGGGCCTGGCACAGGCTGCCCAGAGAAGCTGTGGCTGCCCCACCCCTGGAAGCTCACAAGCTAGCCTGGACTGAGTTTGGATCAACCTGGGCTAGTGGAAGGTGTCCCTGCCCATGGCAGGGGTTGGAATGAGATGCTCTTTCAAATCCCTTCCAATGCAAACCATTCCACGATTCTGTGATTTCTGGAACGTATTTGTTCCTGTCTGGACGTGCAATTTGATTTCTGCACTATGAAGCCTACATTAGATTTATTTTATTTTCTTCAAAGCATCCCCACTGTTGTATTCAGACAACAACCTTCCCCCGAACTCACAAGGGTAAAACCAGGGAGTGAGCAGAGGATGGAACTTGGAGATGGCATCACTGAGGGGCAGCAGAGAAGACAAACATCCAAAAACCAAGGCACAGTGGCTCCATGAATCCACGTGCCTGGAAATGCCACAGGGGCTGCTCCATCACAGGCTAACGGGCTCCTGCTTCCCAGCACCCAGCTGGTGGCACATGATGGGTTCAGTAAAACATGTTTGTTTTAAAGCCTCTTGTGAAGCTCACACACCAAACTCCTACACTCAAACCTTCCAGATTTTAGGGCAAGCAGCAGCTGGGTCCATCAGTTTAGGAAGCTTCCTAGCCACAAAAAGAGGGAGCAGCTCCTTGGAAATTTCATCCCATCCTCTGTGCCATTGAGACCTTCCATTTTTTAATATCTACAAACACAGGTTCTGTTTGGCTGTTGCTGTAACGAGCAGGACACCAAGCGTGGGGTTAAACCAGCCAGTTATCCACAGCCTGTCCCACCAGAAACAGGGAAACAGGAATGATGCCTGCAGAGCTGGGAGTAACTGCACACAGGCTGGGCTCGGGGCTCACTGTCCCCACTCAGCACCAGCCCCAAAAAGGATCTGACCCCCTGAGCTGGGATGGAACCTCTGAGCGGAGCCGGCTCACTCCTCCCTGTGGGACCAGCTGGAAAGGCTCCACACGGAGCAGCTGGTGTTCTCCATCTGCCGGCGGATCGGCCCTACCTCCCCTGAGTCACCAGGGATAAATTCTGAAAGACAGCCTATTAAGGTAATTAACTTACACCAAATGATTGTTAATTATGGATCTCTCATTACATACATCCCAGCCACAGGTCAGGAATCCAAGGAAGCAGCGGGTGAGCTCAGAATTAAGTACTTCTTTCCCATCCTGCAAAGGATTCCCTGTGCAGTAACACCTGTCAGAGAACTCAAATAATCCAGGACAGGGACAAAACTTCCCTATAAACCTGGTTTTATGGGAAAGGGGAGTGGCACACAAACAAGAGGAGGAAATTATTTCAACAACACGGAGAACCATGTCATTTTTTTTTTCCTGACTCTTACAGGAAGTCAGACAACAGCAACATGGAGGGCAGCGACAGCTCTTCCACGTCTGAGAGCTAGAAAAATCCAAGGGAGGAAGGAGGAAGCTCTCCTGGATGAACGCCATCGCCATCTGCCACTCAGATTTCTCTTAAAACACTGATTTTTATCTTTTTTTTTTTCCCCAGCAGCTGAAAGCCATCCAGAGATCTCTCCCTTTTAATCCTCCCAAGCAATTTTTCCAAGAGAGCTGCCGTGGATCTCGAGGAGCAGCAGGAGAACTGGCGGCATCCCGGAGCCCCTGGGCGTCCCCGAGGCTGATTGTGCTCAGCCAGAAGGTTCTGCTGGAATAACCAGAGAGCAGCTTTAATGGCCAAGGCAGGAAATGCAAATGCTGCCTCTCCCTCACCTCCTCCCTGCTGCTGCTGCTTGGAGCCCTCCGTGCCTGGGAAGAGCCTTGCAGGTCTCCTTTCCAAGCAGGGATGCGAAGGATGGCAAACCTGCAGACTGGAAAGGGAAGAGCATCGTGGTCCAGCACCTCCTGGGAAGTGTTTAGTTGTTCAGTGGGTGTTTGGGCATTTACAAGAAAGGCAGGAAATCCTCTGCTCTCAGCTCAAAACTTCCCACAGTCTTTCTCCCTAAAGAAACTCCCTGTTGCTCTGTTACGGGATGAGAGCCACGAATCCCACTCTCAACACTGGATTACACGTTGCCCAGAGAAGCTTGGATGTCCCATCCCTGGAAGTGGCTCAAGGCCAGGCTGGAGAGGGCTTGGAGCAACCTCTTCTGTGTGTAAGACAAAAATGAATCCAAGGTATTCAGTGGGAAAACAGCAGGGGTACAAGGAATGTGACTTAAGGGACTGGCAGAGACTGTGGCACCGCTCAGCACATGGAATCATGGGATGGTTTGGGTTGGAAGGGACCTTGTGGATCATCTCACTCCACCCTCCTGCCATGGGCAAGGACACCTTCCACTCAGACCGTGTTGCTCAGACACACAACAACGAGCCTTATTTTCATTTCCTTCCCTAAGGAAACACATCGCAACAGCAGCTATCGACTGTCTTGAAGACAGGGGGTTTTTTTCCCCAAGAAAAAAATTCTTCATCCTTTGGCCTGACAAAGCATCACTTTCCCTGAGCACAGACAATTTTAAAAGCATCTCTCTATAAATATTTTCATATACACTGCTCTTTGTGTTAAAAACAGACCTTCTCCTCAGGGGCAGACCTAAGGATACACATCAACAAACAAAAGACCAGGAAAGTTGGGGAATCACAGCTCAGACTAAACAATCACAAAAAAGCTCAAGGAGACTTGTGTGCCCACAGCAAGAGCTGCCACCCTGCCCTCAAATCCCCTTTGCATTCTGCAAGATCTTGGGGGCAAGAAAAAGAAAATGCCTTTATCTGATATGTAAATTACTTCATAAAATTGGACACTGTATAAATAAAATAAAAAAAAAAAACTCAACAGACTTATTCTGGAAGCTGCAGAACTGTCGAGATGAAAGAGGTGATATAATTAAAGATCTCCATGGTGG